TGGTCTCTTCCAACTCTATGATTCTATGATTCTATGATTCTAAGAGATTGAAATCCCTACCTTTGCACAGAGGAGAACAGATAGGGAGGGGCTACGGCGTTCTTGAAGGTTAGCTGAGAAACGCGCAGCTAAAGAGAAACACCTGGGGAACAGGTGCTGAGGCTAGATAAGCAGCTGGGAAAAGCCAAGCTCTCAAGGCTTATCTTGGATTCCCCGGTGAAAGCTCTTGGCTCTCGGCTTAACTTTAGACTGCTTATACCCTGTGACCTTTGGATTGTTGTCTTTATCAGCCACGTGTTGGCAGCTTTCCCGGACATCCAATAAGCAAACAGATTCTGTCTCTCTTTCACACACATGTAAACACAGACTGAAATAGACTTACTTTAAAATAATTATTGATCTCATTGGAAAGAAAATTGTAGAAAATCTCTTTTTCTGCAGAATCAATCAGACGATCATGAAAAACCCGGGTTGATTCATGCACAAAAAACAAAGCTGTTGTTTCTTTTGAGACAATGACAGATCGATGAGCTTGGAGCAATCCTTCAAGCACCTGTTAAAAATTTCAAGAGAGATTAATGTTTTGAACTAAGACATGGTTCACATTTCTGTTAAAAGTTTTCCATTATTTTCCATTATTTTATTCTATTAAAAGTTTTCTATTATTTTAAATAAATAGTTTTTATTTATTTAATTTCATGTTGTATTGTGCCATTTTGGGTTGCTTAAGATGTTTTGCAATAATTGCATCTTTTAAACCATTTTGTAATCCTACTCATGGAATACTGATAGCCACAGTAAATGAAAGGGGATAAACATCAGTAGCAGAAGTTTTGAATTAATGTGATACCATCTCTTTCTCTAGTAGCAGAACACCCTGTGGACAGGTTGCTCCTCCCATTTCATTCCAACAAATAGGCAGAAACAATCAATTAGGTTTTACCTGTGTCTTCCTTTATGGAACAGCAGCCTCACAAGCCAACCTTGTGTCACAGCTCAAGAGATTGAAATATACATAGAAAAACCTAACTAGCTTTAGAACCAAATAGCTGAAACCTGAGGATGAAGAAGAAAAGGGGGCACTAGGCAGGTGTAAAAAGGTTTTGTAAAAAGGATCTTCTTTGTCATGTTAACTGAAGTATGCCTGTATATCTCTATTTTCAATATCCCCATCACATCACATTTTATCTAATTTTAACCAATACAAGCTTCCTCCTTTTTACAGCTTTGCTACTCTTCTCTGATTTCTGCCATATGTTAAAGATGATTGCTAAGTCTGTATGTGTCTTCAACAGATTAATAAATTGCGAAATATTGTTATAATGAACTGGAATACTTTGTCAGTTGAACTCACTCTGAAAAGATCTCTCAGGTTAAATGTGTAATGGCATTTAGCTGGAGTTGGACGCATTTTATGAAACATTCTGTAGTACAAAGCAATAGATGAACATGTTAAGTAGTCCTTGCATTTCTGAACTTCAACCATGAATCTGTTGTTGTAAAAATATGTTCCTAGACGGACCTATAAGAAACAAAATATATAATTTTAAACAATTCTCTACAAAATGTTTCATTTCAGTAAGTAAGCACATACTAAATTAATCTATTTTAGATGTATGGAAATGAGCACTCTCAAATACATATGCACCACCACAACACTGGCAGATTGTCTATGATAACAACCTTATTTGCAGATTTCTTGGTAAAGCTGATATACATACTCAAAAGAATGCTCAAACATCCATCAACATTTTGAATTGGGCATGCAGTGCCAGTTTCATTAGCAGGACTACATATCTCCTGGAGAGACCCTTTTCTCTGTCCCACCACCTTCTCAGGCTCATTTGGTGAGAACAAGGGTGAGTGCCTTCTCAGACTTTGGAACTCCCTCTTTAGAGAGGCCAGGATGGCTCTATCCTTGTTCTCCTTCTATCGGTATGTCAAAACATTTTTGTGTTGTTTTGTTGTGCAGTACTGTTCTTAAGGGTTGTATATAATCTTTTAATTAATTTTAATATTTTTACTGTTTAATGTTTAACTTTATAAGTTGTTTAATTGTTTTTAAATCTTACATTTATATTTTTATAAGATCAGACTGCCAAAGCAGTCTGATTATCATCTCCTCTTGGCTTCTTTTATTGTCCCCTAACCTCTGCCCAGTCTATCAGCTGCCTTATCTGATCCAATCAAAGCAAAGGTGCTGATGGTGCCCTGTTTATGTTATCCAATCAAAACAGAGTTCTTAGATATGACATCACTCCAGATACAGGTGGAGTCTTACCATGCTGCATCAGTCAGTGCACCTGCAAGGAGGTTTATCAGCAGACAAACCTGTTTGATATCTCAGTACTGATAGAAACAAAGGCTCTCCTCTCTTTGTTCACATTTAAGTAGATTTCAGCTTGGAACTAGCCTGTCTCTTTATTTTCTGAAACTAACACACACTTTATGCACACAGCTTTCTACATTATATCTTGTACTCTATATGTTATAGCTGACTTGTCAAACTTTCTCTACAGCACTCCACATCATAGAATCATAGAGTTGGAAGCAACCAGAAGGGCCATCCAGTCCAACCCCCTGCCATGCAGGAACTCAAAATCAAACCATCCTCGACAGATGGCTATCCAGCCTCTGTTTAAAGACCTCCAAAGGAGGAGACTCCACCAACCTCCAAGGGAGTGTGTTCCATTGTCAAACAGCTTTCACTGTCAGGAAGTGCCTCCTAATGTTGAGGTGGAATCTCTTTTCCTGTAGCTTGCATTCGTTGTTCTGAGTCCTAGTCTATGGAGCAGCAGAAAACAAGCTAGCACCCTCCTCAATATGACATCCCTTCACATATTTAAAGAGGGCTCATATCCCCTCTTAATTGTCTCTTCTCCAGGCTAAACATACCCAATTCCCTAAGTTGTTCTTCAAAGGTCACGATTTCCAGACCCTTCACCATTTTAGTTGCCCTCCTCTGGACACGTTCCAGTTTTTCTACATCCTTTTTGAATTGTGGTACCTAGAACTGGACACAGTATTCCAGGTGGGGCCTGACCAAAGCAGAATATTGTTGCACTATTACTTCTCTTGATCTAGATACTATACTTCTATTAATGCAGTCTAAAATTGTGTTGGCCTTTTTAGCTGCTGCATCACACTGTTGACTCATGTTCAACTTGTGGTCTACTAGGACTCCTAGATCCCTTTCACATGTAGTCTCGTTAAGCCTAGTGTCCCCCATCTTATATCTATGCATTTTTTGTCCTGAGTGCAGTATCTTACATTTCTCTATGTTGAAATTCATTTTGTTAGCTTTGGCCCAGCTTTCTAATCTATTAAGGTCATTTTGAATTTTCATCCTGTCTTCTGGGGTATTAGCTATTCCTCCTAATTTGGTGTCATCTGCAAATTTGAG